TGAAGTAAAATACTATAGTTAAGGAAGGCATGTTTATCAATTGTCATCATTTCTAAATTCTACATTAGCTATTTGGTAGTAATCAATGACGGGTGTATTTACACTATTTTGTTTTACAGTGCGGTGAAACTTGTAAGATAGAGTTACATGAGTGTGTGCGTGCACGCAAAATAATTCTTAATATGTTTACATGAGTGTGTGCGTGCACGCAATTTAATTCTTGTTGTTAAACACATACTGAATGTGCATATATTTTTGAACAAAATGTGCAAACAAAAGTTTTAATACAAATTTGATGTACATAATATACATAGTAACAGTCATAATTACTATACTTTATTTATAGAGGTTTATACTTCATAATTTTGAAATATAAGAATTGAATATATTTATGAATTCCAAATATATATAATTCCATAAATCTGCATTTTTTATAATTATTATAAGAAGACATTTCAAACGAGTCGATTGAGTCAAGTATAGATTGATTAATACAAATTTTCCAATTTGATTTCATTTGAAGTATTTACCAACTCCTACTTGGCTTTGAAGATATACGCATAACTAAATGACAAATGAGATCAAGTTAGGTTTGCACTTGTATGTCTCACTTTTCAAAATCAAATTGCTTTTCAAACAAGGCATATGCTACATCACTGTGGTTACACAACAAACCTGCAACTTCGGTTCAGCACCAACCTATTCTGTTTTCTAACCATGCTGCAGTTGTTCTTTGTGACTCTTTACCTGCTGGTAGATGTAAAAGGCCTTAAAGGATCGAGAATTGGTGTCTTCATGCTTCAGAGGTGGAAGACATGGTCCAGTTTATTTTTATGACGTATATTCCGGGCTCTCATATGTTCTCTTTATCTAAGAAACTATGTCTTCTGCGACATCGCTTATTGGCTTGGTGTGTTTCTCATAAGAAGTTGAAGGGTATTGATTGGAAAGCGTTGGTGGCTGAGGTTTCTCAAGCGGCGACTGTTTTAGATTCTCGTTACAGTCGAACGGTGTCTTTTTAATTCTTTGAGGATCGAGAAAGTTACCGAGGCTCAGGCTGCTTTTCTCTTCTAGAAACAAAGAGCTAAAGTGAAGTGGGAAGCATTTGGGGATGAACACACCCGTTTACTTTTTTCTGCTGTCCAAGCTAGAAAGCGATGCAATTCTATAATTGGCCTCCAGGATAGCGTTGGAGTTTGGGTAATGGATGTTGGGAGTATTCGTACCTTAGCTTTGGATTTTTTCAAATCTCTTTATAAGGGGAACTCAGAATCTTCTTCCGAGATCCGATCCTCAATTTCTTAGTTTCATTGGGAATCTCTTCACTTGCCTTCGTTATCTGAGACTCAGCGTCAGACATTGTTGGCTCCTTTTTTTGATGAGGATATAAAACATGCTATGTTTAGTATTGGAGATGAGAAATCTCCGGGACCAGATGGCTTTCCTTCGGCTTTTTTTAAAACTCATTGGGATAGGGTGGGTGATCAGGTTATAAAGGCGCTTTAGTTTTTCTTTGCTCATGGGTATTTTCTTAACGACTGGAATCGTACCTTTTTTGTTTTACTCCCGGAAATTGATCATCCTGAACTCATTTCTCAATTTCGCCCAATTGGTCTATGAAATGTTGTTTACAAATGCATTACGAAGTGTTTGTCTCATCGGTTGCGAGGGGTGCATCCGAGTGTAATTTCGGAGTTCCAGAATGCTTTTGTTCTTGGTCGAATTATGTCTGATAATTGTTTGATGGTTCATGATTTGATATCGTTCATGAATACTTCCAAAGCAAGGAAACGCTTCTATACTGCTTTGAAACTGGATATGAACAAGGCTTATGATAGGGTGGCCTAGGATTTTCTAGCTAGTGCTCTTCAGGTGTTTAGTTTCCCTCCGTAATGGATTATGACTGTCTCGTACCAAGTCTTAGTTAATTGTGCTCCGACTGAGAGTTTTAGGCCTCGTTGTGGATTATGTCATGGGGATCCTCTACCACCTTATTTGTTTGTCATGTGCATGAAAGTTCTTTCTGCTATGTTGCATAAGGCAGAATCTGAGGGTCTCTTTCAGGGAATTAAAGTTGCAAGAGGAGCTCCGGCCATCTCTCATTTATTTTTTGCCGATGATTCCTTAGGTATCGCCCTCTTCTTGTGATCAGATGATGCATGTGCTTTCTGGTTTTTGTGATATTTCAGGTCAAATGCTTAATATGCGAAAATCGTTTGTTAAATTTAGTCCTAATACGCCGGAGGATTATCGTAATTGTAGGCGTCGCTCGAAGTGCGCCTACGTTAAAGCATGTGTGAATATGCTTGGCACTCATAGGAAGTGAGAATTGACATATATGATTAGGGACAAGGAAAGTAGGGAGCCGCCAACAAGTTTTTAAGGAACTTGTAAACCGTTCACGGATCATAAAAGGCAATCACGATAAAGGGACAACGATAGGCAACAATGATTGACCCGTGAAGGTTACACCCCATTCATAATCCATGAGATTACTAACTCCATATGGTTCGGAACCACGAAAGGAGGATCGGGGATGATGGTACGAAGTGAGTCATGGAGTCACATTCGCCCGTATTGGCCTCTACTCGATTCTTATAATGAAAAGTGATTCCTGCAATCTCAAAGGCATGCAAACAAAGTATTCAATTTGCTCCAAACTATTATTATGCTAAATTGGCTGAATATTAATGCAACACATAATTCTAAAATATTGTGACCACTTGAATTAACAACAAGATTAAAAAAGGAACCTAAACCGGTTGTCCAAATTATCTTATTAGGCGTGATTTTCAATTACATATTCCCTTTAAACATTCAATATGGTGATCAAAAGAATAATAGAATAAACATTAATATTGAAAGAAATTTAACAATAAATTGTTAGTCAAATCAAATATAAAATAACCTAATCATGATACTAGCAATAAGAAAATAAAATAAGAGTAATTGCCACCATTTTTGCAGCGGAAGAAAGATGAAAAGACGCAAAACCCTCAAGTCGTTTAACCACCTTATCTAAAAGAAAATTAAATTTCGAGCATTTACTTTGCCCCAGATCAACTGGGAGCCCTAAATAAGATCCAAACCGAGACTCCGATCGCAATCTCAAACAATGAGAAAGATGATTACTGTAGACACCTAAAAATGTCTCCCCAAAACCAAACCCGTTGATGAACACCTTTCACCGCCATTATTGGTCGAGTTGAGTATTTAATCTTTGGAGTTCTTAAATCCATGTTCTATCCAATATATTTCATGAACCAATCCAATTTCTAGCTCATTTCCCTAAACCATAACCTATTTTCCACTTTTCGTGTCCACGTCGCAAAACTTAGAGAAACTAATTTTATAGCTATACAATTTTGATCCAATTATTATTTTGTTGTATAGGCCTTTAAATAAGATTTCCAACCATATATCATAAGCCCAATTCCGAGCTATAATGAAAAATATATGAGCAAAACACTAAACTCGGCCTAAAACCGACACCCTTCCACTAAAACAGCCATATCTCAAAATCTATATATCATTTTGACTTGATTCCAATTGGGTTGGAAATTAGACTTGATAAGATTTCCAATGATATATTATATGCCTTAAATTGTTAGTATTAAATTATATCAACTCTAATTTTAATTTAATTTAATGTTCCATTTACTTTATATTTTTATTGAAGTTACTAACAATTTATTCATGATGTAGAAATTTAAAGGAACGCATGGAATGTAGAGTAATTAAGTTATATCATTGGACAGCTTATCAAGTCTAATTTCCAACCCAATTGGAATCAAGTCAAAATGATATATAGATTTTGAGATATGGCTGTTTTAGTGGAAGGGTGTCGGTTTTAGGCCGAGTTTAGTGTTTTGCTCATATATTTTTCATTATAGCTCGGAATTGGGCTTATGATATATGGTTGGAAATCTTATTTAAAGGCCTATACAACAAAATAATAATTGGATCAAAATTGTATAGCTATAAAATTAGTTTCTCTCAGTTTTGCGACGTGGACACGAAAAGTGGAAAATAGGTTATGGTTTAGGGAAATGAGCTAGAAATTGGATTGGTTCATGAAATATATTGGATAGAACATGGATTTAAGCACTCCAAAGATTAAATACTCAACTCGACCAATAATGGCGGTGAAAGGTGTTCATCAACGGGTTTGGTTTTGGGGAGACATTTTTAGGTGTCTACAGTAATCATCTTTCTCATTGTTTGAGATTGCGATCGGAGTCTCGGTTTGGATCTTATTTAGGGCTCCCAGTTGATCTGGGGCAAAGTAAATACTCGAAATTTAATTTTCTTTTAGATAAGGTGGTTAAACGACTTGAGGGTTTTGCGTCTTTTCATCTCTCTTCCGCTGCAAAATTGGTTGTAATTAATTTTGTGTTAGTAGCTTCGTTTAATCACATACTATCTGTGTTTAAAATTCCTAAGACTATTTGCTCCAAGGTGGATAACTTGTTAGCTAGGTTCTGGTGGAAATCTTCTCATTCAAGTCTAGGAATGGCTATCAAGTCTCCCGCATTGCTTCATCTCCCAAAGGGCTTGGGAGGTTTGGGAATTCGTAGTGTTGCTCCTTTCAATTCTGCTTTGCTAGCTAACAAAGCTGACGCCTTATTCAGTCCCCTCAGTTGCTGGTTTCTCATCTACTGTTCGCAAAATATCCTTCTTTGAGGAATATGGAGGCTACTTTGGTGTCTCGTCCGTCATGGGGTTGTAGGGGTTTGCTCTCAGGTTTTTCAGTGTTATCTAGAGGTTAGTTTGGAAGGTCAGTTCGGGGACTAGTGTTTGAATTCTGGAGGATTCTTGGGTTCCAGGTGGGCCGTTCCAATTTAAGGAACAACCATGGAAGGCGGCTAGGCCGTCTCTTGTTTCTTCTCTATTTAATTTGCGTTCTTATGCGTGGGATGTTTCGGTTGTTCACAACCTGTTTGATTCTCATTCTGCGATGAGGAATATGTTGTCGGTGGATGGATCATCCGAAGCGGATGATGGATGATCTTGTTTATTGGAAGTTCACTAGGGACGATATTTTTTCTACAAAATCAGCTTATGCCCTTCAATGTCAGTCTGACATTACACTGGGTACAGGTTGTCAACTATCTCCACCCTGGTGGCGGAAATTTTGGAGGCTACCTATTCTGCCTCGTTGGAAATGTTTTGGTTGGAAGTTGCTGCAAGACGCTCTTCCACTCTCTGCCCTCCTTTCTTCACGAGGTTGTCCAGTTGATCCGCTTTGTGCTTTTTGCCATGTTGAGTTGGAGGTGGCGGCACACACTTTCAGAGACTGTCCGTATGGACGCCCGTTGTGGGAGTCGGGGGTGTTGGGGTTCCCTGGGTGTTTTCACAGTCTTCACCTTTTGGGTTTTGGTTGGCTTATTCAATTTCTCATTACTCTTCGTCTGGTTCTGAAAACAAGGTCATGGCTTTATTTGCTATTCTCTAGGCTATTTGGCATTCTAGGAACCAGCTGAGGTTTAGGCAAGAAATCTGGTCACCTAGTACAATTGAGAGCTTGGCTAAGGATTGGTATTATCGGTGTGTTCAGGCTCAGGATCTGAAGAACTCTTCGGTTCGTTCTCATTCGGTTGTTGGTCCGGGTTTGTCGGATGTCCCATGGCTTTGCTTGCAAGGGTTACCTAATATTTTCCCAACAACTTGTTTGATTGTGGATGGGGCTTGGGATAGTTCTACTTATAGAACAAGGGCAGGCTGGGTTATCCGTGACATTTTCTCGTCGGACGTCCTGCGTGGAGGGAGTCGGGCTTTTATGACGAGTTCTGCTTTGCAATCTGAGTTACAAGTCTGTTTATGGGGGGTTCAGTTTGTGGTGCACATGTGTTGTCCTTTCTTTTCTCTCATCTCGAGGGTCTTTAGATATTTCTGTTTGGTGGCTCATTTAAAACTTGCGATCCGCCATTCGGTCCCTGTTGGTGTGTTAGATTTGAAAGTTCCTCGGGCTTGGGTTTTACCAGCTCACTGGTTGGCTGGGTGTGCTCGTCGTTGGCAATTGTTGTATTTTCAGTATTAGTTTTTTCCTAGCCCTTTTGTCAAAAAAAAAAAATAAAAATAATAAAATAAAAATAAAAATAAAAATAAAAATTGCTTTTCAAAAATATTAAGGCTAACTAGCTAAGACAAATCTATACAGCATTGTTTTCGATCAGGCTAATTTAAACTCTTTTTTGGCCATTAGTATATAATTAAAATGTTACACAGTTATTGAATTTATTGTAGTAATATGAAATCAGCTAATAATCGAACAATTGAAATAAACAGAAGTAGAACAATAATGACCCAACATAGATTGCAAAAATAACTACTTATCAACTTATTATTTATACATAGGTATTGAGTCAATGATACAGCATCATGACCAAATGTACATGTTACAAATGTCCGAAAGAATCAAGTTGATGTAAATTCCAAAATTAACCCCAAGGCCCAAATTATCTAGCATAGTTGTTCTGTTCTATCTGTTGAATCCATTCTGCTTCAACAAATATAGAGGAGATAACTCGAAGTAAAGCATAAAATATCACTTGTACTAGAAAATGCGATTTTTCTTTATTTTTGTACTGCTTACCATTTATATATGCATCTGTAATTCACATGAAGGCCAAACTGAAATACTTACAAAAAATGGCTCGTCGTCAGTATGTAAATGAATATTCATTCTGTTGTCATTTTGGTTATTAGCAAAATCTCAACAGCTGCTTCAATAAATCACTAGTAAGTTGACCGCTGTTAACAACATCAACTCAAGCAGGCGAGTACCAGCGACCCAGAGTCCTTAAATAATGATAGTGTTGATTTCAACTAGCCAAGCTGCATCAAAAACTCAGTTGACTGGCAGCGAATACTTCACAATCAAACCCAGACCTCAATTTTTGAGCTGAAAGCACATAACCAACTTCTTCCACAAACCAGTGCTCTCGTTATTAGCTGGAAGCTCAGTTGGTTCTTTGAAATGTGCACTCTCACTAAGCTCCTCAAATGCATCCACCAAGTATCCAAGCCTTGCAACAAATTCTACCAAAAGAGAAGCAAAAGTTGCTAATGACAAGGAACTAGCACTTTCATAAGTTTGTGCTTCCTTTTCATTGATGGTGAAGTCAGGAAGAATTGAAATACGTGAAGGCCAATGAGTCCTGCCAGCCATGCTGTCAGTGGAGCACATCCCTTGCATTGAAGATCCACCACCAAACATAGAAATCTTTGAATTTGTGATATCAATGTTTGATTGCATATGCTCAGGTTCCATGCTAAGCACACTGAGGGAATTTATCACAAGCTGACTGCCACCACAATCCTTCATTTGGGCAACATGATCAGGATCTTCAAATTCCTTGGGCCGTTTTCCTTCCTCCCAAGACTCAAAACTAACCAGAAGATAAGACTTTTCATCTATCTTTGTTTGCAGCTGCTCTGCTGCTGCATGAACTTCAGCCAGTATATCATCATCATTTAGTTTCTCCATTTTCTCAACTTTGCTCCCAAGGTCACGTAATAGTTTAGCCCCAGCAGTACCAACCCTACGAAGTTCATTAACGAAAACCTGTCTTTTTTCTGCTGGTGCCTATGCATATTAACAGACAGATTCAATCAAATGATTTACTCAACATAAAAAAGAAGGTAGTAGAAGCTAAGCCCAAGAGTGCAAAGAAATAATTTTCTTCCATTTTTTTTTTATTTTTTTTATTGTAACCATAAAACCCCCTAAATTAGGATATTCACATGTCCCTACACTAGGTATCTATAGGAAAAGAACCGCATAAACCTTTGCCAGACTAGAAGGCCTCAGCCTTGAGCCCTTGAACAAATAAATCAAACCATAACCATAACCATAACTAATCATGACAAACTAACGAATTCACAAAACCTTTCATAATTAATAAGGGTTTTGCAATGATCCCTTTTGGGGGAAAAAAAAAATCTCATTCATGAATCTTTTTTGGGAGTATTTCAAATTTTTAAGTAGAATCAAGGACTTTCTAAGATGCCAGAGGTGAGATATGGGAGATTTGTGAGGTAGTTTAGCATAACATAAATGAGCAAACTAGATAGTGGTTGAGTTTATATTTGATGCTATATTTAGAAACCAATCTTTGGTTGATGTTTAAAATTTTTATACGTGGCTAGCTAAAGTGATTGCTCCCGGAGTCCGGGCACACATTTTTCGGGAGAGCTTTTCCCCATCAGGGCTTCACTCATCTCAAAACCAGATCAGTCAAAGTCTGGTATAAAAAGCTATGGGCAAACAATGAGTAATATTATAGACTTGGCAAAAACTGACCAACTCAAAAACCAACCTGAACCCTACCCGCTTAAAAAATAGACAAGAGTAAATTGAAATTTTGATAACACTAGGGTGGATATAAGTAGCCTTGTTCAAGATTCTCTTTCAATTTGGTTTCATATTACAACCTTAATTTTAAAAGGTATGATTATCCAAACACTATTTATAAGAGTTATCTCTAACTTTCTAAATGGTAGGAAAGAAAAGGCCAAAAAAAAAAAAAACCAAAAATAGCTACGCAGGTTAAAAAAAAAAAGAAAAAAAAGGGAAACAAATGTCACACATGTGATTTGCATGCAAAAATGGGGGTATTTATGTAAATAGACATTTTAAGGGAAACAAATGTCACACATGTGATTTGCATTCATAAGTGTGGTTAAACTTTTACGGAGTAATAAGGTAGGGATGTGAAAGTGGTTATTCATATAATGCACTTCAGACTTGAAAATTGAGACTCTGACTGACTACATTGAGTCTTGCTCTTTACTTATTGTGCTGTTTGTTCCATTGTCAATCACGCTCATAAGTGATAGCTTAATTAAAAAAAACACCCTACAGGTTACAACTCTATGATAAGGAATATGATTTACAAATCAAAAAAATTATACTCGTATAAGTTAACATATGTAACTTTGATAATTACAGAATTAAATTGGTCTTAGGTCTTGTTTTAATTTATATCTAGTATACAAATTAATAATTAGTGAAATTTATTGTAAAAGCTTTACTGGATTCTGTCTACAAATTGCAAGTATTTTATCAACACAAACTCTAAAATAAAGAGGTCTCTTAAATTTGTACAAATATCACCTCCTCTATTTTTTAATAAATGCAACTTGTTCTCATCACCTTTGCACAGATTTTGAGGAAGAGAATAGTGAAGGTAAATGGATAAATTATTTGAAATAACCTAAACACCGGTAAGACAAAAGGGTTGACTTACCTATATTTAACACTATAACTTATATTACCATAATTGTCAATTTATCTTCTCTAATCTCTTCCCTTAAATGTGTGTCAAAGAAACATGTTACTATTATTAAAAAAACGAAGGAAGTATATTAAAATAGATAAGGAGTATGAAGTTAACTACTTCCTCCGTTCCCCTAATATTGCAACAATTACCATTTAAAAAAGTTTCACAAGTATTACAACATTACCATATATGCACATGCTTTCTCACTCTCTCTCTCTCTCTCTCTCTCTCTCTCTCTCTCTCTCTCCTCATCACATGAGTCTCTATCTTTATTTCTTTCTATCTCTCTCTCCATCTAAAATCATGTATCTTCCCCCTTGTTGCAATATTAAGGGAACGGAAGAAGTATAATATTATAACATGATAACCCATGTATAGTTACTGTATATGATATGATGGATGGATCTAGTTTTGAAATACTTCTCAAAACGATTCTAGTGATATGATTAGTACAAATAAGTGATTAAAAGCTATCATTCAAACATGATTTTTATGCAAAGTGCTACTATATTAGTAATCCAAAACACTAATAAATACTAAGAAAATATAAGGGGACATCATGAGGAAGTAATGCAGCATTGTTATGTATTTGTTGTTAGATAATACGCAAATTCGTAAATATTTTGAAAGTTGACAATTGTACCACTGGGTTTTAGAATGCACCATTGATAGTGGAATGGTACTATAAGTGGTTATAATGATACTCCTTCATCATAGGTTGTGAAACTACCAGGTAACAACATTTGGTATTTAATAAGGCTTTCGATTGTAGTAGTCTCATGTTGCTTAATACATTTTTGTGTGTATATATATATATAATTTTCACCCTACATCACTGTGATTCACTGGTATGACCATGAAAGATCATAAGCAACTAAAAGCAGTAAAGCACCTAACTAGGTTATAGAAAGAACAGTTAAAACGAGAAGCAGTGACACACACACACACACCTGTATTTCTGAAAGAATGCATCCATGCATTGCCATGACCATGAAAGCACAATGTCTCAGAGCACCACTGACTTTAACATAGTTTTCCCATGGATAATTAAATGACTTGTAAGGGCCATGTGGAGGCTCCCATGTCGCAAAACCTAGCTGAAACAGAATGTATTTTTGTGGTTAAAGCAAACCATTCTGACATATTAAAAATAAAAAAAAAAAGTAAATAGTGAAAGCTCTAAAAATCAAAATACCAAAGATTCCTCTTGGCTTGTAGACTGGAGAGCTGCTCTGTAACCACCATACATAGGATCATCATAAACTTGGTATGTAAGAATTTTTGAAGGGATTTTATCATATGCAACACAGCGCAAGTACCCGTCAACACAGCCTACAAAAGAGTATGATCTTGTTTCAGGAGCAGCTCAAATCACAGGAACTAATCAGACACTTGTTTTTACTTTTTACTCCACCCACCCCCCCCCCCCCGGGGGACCCAAAAAAAAAAGAAAGATAGTGAATTGTGGTCATACCTTCCAATGAAGTAGCAACACCTTTGAAATTTTTAACAACCAGCTTGTGAAGATCCTCACCCGCCCAGATAGGGTAAATACAGATGTTGACGAGAGAAGCCATGCCAGCCCCAATTGCAATAAGTAATAACCGAAAATATGCTGTCCGGAGAAAGTTTGATGTTTTATTTCCAGTCACCAGTACTAAACAAAAAGTCAATAGAAATACCCTGAACCCATACTCGTAAGGTTTCAACTTGGGGTATAATTTAACATAAGTCACACAAAATCCTGAACATCAAA